TAGATATATGCACACACATACGCAGGCTTGCATGCACACACGCACGTGCACACACACACGCATGCACACACACACACGCGCACACACACACATATATATATATATAATATATATACAATGTTGTCAGCCGCGGTAACTGCGCACTATAACCGCGGTGTATACTTTTGTTTGTACAATTTCCACTCTATACTATAGGCCTAGTAATAGTATATAGACTCTTCCCTCCGCAACATAAGTGTTAACGCCGTCAACGGTCATAATCATATTATCACCAGCTTGTTGGTGATTCAAACGATATAATTCTTATGCATTGCAATAGATAGGAGACAAAACGCCGTCATACATGGAGGAAATTACGCGACCAACCTATCGAAGTTGCGACAACGATTATTTTGCCGGTACCGACGCGTTCGGCCAACCTGCTGAAAGTTCCGCAATGCAGATGTTTACGAGCCAATCAGCGAGCCACTTTCAAATTCTTTGGCGGGGTATTTGCCACGGAAAATAACTCCAGCGCAACACTATTGCGCGGTCGACACAAGAAGTAGTTCGTATATTTCAGTGGATCGCCAGAAGTCTCAAACGTCTCTCAGAAAGGGCGTCGTATGTAGGGACGTCAGCAAACGCAGACAAACAGAACATACCCAGGATAGCGCAAAAGACGGTTTACCCAATCGGAATAAACGCAGCGGAATGATTGCGACACTCCTTTTCCATTGAAAAGTAGTCCACTTGCTCGTTGGATTTATCGGTAGTCGCAGGTCAGACCATAGACATTCACTGAAATTATCTACAATGGTGAGTAGTTTTCTTTAGACATCTCGTCTCTGAACATCCTTTGATTTGAACAATATTAATTGTTCTTAGTGCGTAACTTGTTAGTTTCATTAAGCGTTTGCTATTTATGAAAATGTAATCGCCGTTTCTAAACCATCTACCGGCACATCTAGCTATCGCAGTTTAATGGCGGCAAAGTGTACATGTCGATCATACATAGGCTAGCTGTATCGTTGGAGTGTCACTATGGTGCCGATATGTGCTAGTCTGGCTTCCTTGGGTTTCCAGATACAACTGGAATACAATATTATTCAAGGAATAATACGGATATCATAGTATAGAAATTAGTAACAGAATGCCAGTTAAAAGTACGAAGGCCGAATGTTAACGTGAACATGAATTTGGGAAACATGAACGTGAACGTGAATGAAGGTGGGCCACATCCGTCTTCACTGGCATAGCAGTTGATATTTTCCTATATCTTTGCATTCATCAATCACAAA